TAAGTTTATTTGACATTTTGAAAATTGAAATTCGAACCAAAATCGGCCAGAAATTATGGGTCAACCCAAAGTTTAATCGCTTTTCAGAGCGAAGATGAATTGTAGATTGAAATTTTCTCACCGTTTTTCATGAGACTTCATTCACGAAGATTACTAAGGTTTCAAGAGTTCAAAATTCTTCGACATTTGAATTTCGACTTCGTTAAAGATCGATTTCTGGGAGCAGAGAAAAGATAGTAGCCTTCTGAAAATGGAGCTGTCGTGGATGATAAATCGGCCTGCAATTATGAAGAATTTTGATTCTGAAGAACATTTTCCCCCTTGGAAGAACAATAGTTTACACCGGTTTATCTATAATTGCTGACATGTCGTTGTAAATGCTTTGGTGTTTTTGTGACGGGGAGTTGTCGAAAAATTTCGAAGTCGGTACAATGCGACGATTGACCCAACAAGGGCTCACAAGGGAGGTCTTTCAGGGCAAGGTGCGCTTTTTGGAAACGGTTTAGTACATATTGTAGGGACGCATGTATGGACCACAAAACCATGTTTCGTTTTCGCTGAACGGTTTTAGTAGTACCAAAAAAGTGGTGAATAATACTCTTGATGGTTCAATCCCCGCGGCGACTAAATTTTGCAATCAAGGTTGGCGGCCACTTGTTGGCTTCAAAATGGTCCTGACGATGAATTTGACATCTGATTTTGATATTTAGCGCGATTTGGCACCAAACCGTAGGCGCCAACCCAAATGCAAAATTTAGTCGCCACGGGGGATCGAACCATTAACAGTACCTTATGCTTCTTTTTTGGTACTGCTAAACCGTTCAGCGAAAATGAAACATGGTTTTGCGTTCCCTACATGCGTCCCTACAATATGCACAAAACCGTTTTGAAAAAGCGCACCTTGCCCTGAAAGACCTCCCTTGTCAGATGAGTCACCGGGCATGGTGAAAAAAATGGAAAGTTCAAGTCGAGAGAGGGCGAATATGCCGCGCGCCGCAGCGACGATTGGCTCTCTCCGAGTCACAATGTGCCTTATTTTGTTTCGCAGGATAGCGGAAACAACCTTGATTTCCTGTGAGTTCTGAGCGAATCAGGTTCCGTTAATGATAAACCTTCAGTTCTTTGAGGTTCAACGTTCCTAAGCACTGTTCAGGATATAAATTGATACACGTGCTCGAAGTCAACAGCGATCACATGTTAACACTAGCTAAATAAAGTGCGACCGTTGGCTCCCTCAGAGCACCAGTGCATGGTGAGACCTTCAGTTCTTTGAGGTTCAACGTTCCTAAGCACTGTTCAGGATATAAATTGATACACGTGCTCGAAGCCAACAGCGATCACATGTTAACACTAGCTAAAGTGCTCGATATAGCGGCACATGTCTCCTGCTGTCGAGATCATTGGATACCAGTGTCTGGCAAGTTTTGGGTCTTTTGCCGCGTAGAGTCCCAAGTTTTTAGACAGCCAGTAACACAATATTTCCGGAGAGATAGGGGGAAGAGGTACAGGCCCCCTACCCTTAAAAGAACTTCGCCAAAGTTTTACGAATTGCACGCATCAGCAGAATCAATCAGATTTTTCTTTGCCCCGGTAAGTAGCCTGCCCCCCCATATTACCACTGCCTCACCATCGACCCTGACCCTTTTCAGAACCTTAGTCAAGTTCCCTACCCCCAAATGAAAACAGAACCTGCAGTTTGGACATTTCAAGTTTGGCCCACTTACATCAAAAGGGTCACTTCACAAAAGGATCAATGCTTCAGGTAAGCCGCAATCTCAAAAACAAAATATCCTGCGGGCTGTCAGTGTCGGTTCGAGTTGGATGAAGCATCAAAAGCGATCTTAGCGAAATTCTTTGAGCAAAGAACCTTTAGATTTCCTAAATGCCGTCGTTACTTTTAGTTGTGAAGTTTGAAGCGCACAGTATTGGGCCGTCGGATACAAATTTAAGCTACCCGATGGCGAAATTCCGCCGATTATGGTGCTGATGTTGAACGTCGTGCTACAGTGCGAGTACGAGCCGGGATATGTTTTTTGAGAATCTCTCTTCTATCTTGAATCAGAGAACTACGAGTGTGGGGCAAAGACGTGCCTCAAGTGTACAACGATTCCCCAGCCATTTCAATTCCCAAGTATGGGAGAGCTCTGAAGGTCTATTACGGCTGACCCTCACAGATAGGCCAAACCAGATATCGAAGGACTTTATGGTTTGAATGGAAACAAAATCGGTACCTTTCCATCTCTTCCATTATGCCACGGATATTTCCTACTTTCACTAATATTTTTGTTTACAGAAGACTAATTACAATCAGCGTCATTAAAGCAGCACCTGTCCACTACTCACATCACACATGACTGGTGGAGTTCGTGCCAAGACGACAAACAATGTCGTTTAGAACTTCATTGATGTCTACAATGCTATTATCAGTGCTTTATATTGTTCGTTATAAAGAGAGCAGACACACTCAACCGTGGTAACGGTAATGAATAGCTCATGTCATTTCAAAACATTTACCTCCCGTCAGATCGGTTCAACGTCTATTTCCACAGCTGTGGAAACTGCGAAGCATTAATTTCACCCACTCTAAGGACTGCAACAAAATGTTACAACTCACTTTGTTTTCATGGTGTTGCAAAGGTGAAAGAACTAGCAGAGGAGCCGAGCACGCGGCCGAGGGGTCATTCCCCGGTTCGTGCGCTTTCCAGCCCGACCAAGGTTCCCATTTTGGGGTGGATGATTGATGCAATACCAGCTTGGAAGCAGACAAGTACCTAAATGTACATCGGGTGGCCCCGACGTTGAGATAGGTATCGATTGTTTGATCCGATCGGATATGTTGAACGATGACTCGATACATATCTAATAGTGCAAACCTACGCAGCATCAGATGTACATATAAGGTAAGTTAAAAAGTGTATAAAGTATAAAGAAATGAGCGCAATTTCTTTCACTCGGTTGTAAGCTAATACACTTAGCCGCTTGGTATCTTCGACGTTTTTCACCCAGTTGAGTGCTATTTCAGAGTCCGACAGTAAGAAGATTTCGCTGATTTTGATTGATGACTGGAGTTCTTCTGTCGTCGACTTGCCAGGCGCGCTGACAGTGTCAGTGCGTTCAGTTCCAGCTTGGGTACTGTGTGCTTCTCCTTTCGTTTTGGTAATCTGGACTTCGAGATTAGAAGATGATGTTCATTGTTATTACAAAGGTATGCACATGTAGCCATTGCCATGCTACTTGCATCGCTGAATAGCACCAGTGTTGTTCCGGTGTTTGTTTGACACCCTTCTAGGGATTTGTTTGGTGAATCCACGAGTGTCATGGCATGAGTCGATCCATTGTTGACGGTCTTCCTTTTTCAATGGTTGATCCCAAGGGTATTCCTTCCTCCATAGTGATTGGAAGAAGATTTTGTTCTTTATCAAGAGTGGATTGAGCCATCCCATTGGGTCATAAACAGACGCATTTGCCTGGAGTACCGTTCGTTTGGTTACTTCTGAGAGGTGCGGGATGTTACATTCGATTTGTAAGTAATCGGACTCCGTATCCCGTTGGATTCCTAACACCTTCGGTGAAATTTGATGGGATTTATCTTCCATCCTGATGAATTTGTTGACCTTTTTGTCGTTCGATATGAACTCGCGAAGATTCATATTGAGCTCTTTGAAGGTTTCCTTCGCTTTAATGTACTTCGTTATGGCTTCCTTGGTCGATTCTGCACATATAAGGAGATTATCGACGTAAAGGTTGTCATTGAGTTCACTGGCGAATTTTTCGTCGATTTCCGCAGTTTCTAGATGAAATCTGATCGTGGCGGCAAGGAGAAATGGGGAAGCCTTCAATCCGAAGGTAACTCTCGTGAAGCGGTATTCCACGAGGTTGCGGTTGTTAGGTGGTTTTTAAGTGTCGTGCAGCCACAGGAATCTTGTTGCATCCCTATCGTCTTCGTGAAGATGCACCTGTAGAAATGCTTTTTCTACGTCTGCAGATAAAGCTGTCTTTCCGATTCTGAATCGTTGCATCATCCCCACAATCTTGGGTAGAAAGAGGGGTCCTTGGTGTAAGGCATCGTTCAAAGAAGGTTTTCCTGCATAATGCGCGGAAGCGTCGAACACAATTCCTCAACTTCGTATTTGGTTTGTTCGGAGTAACTACTGCCTGGTGAGGTAAGTAGTGAAGGACTGTGTTGACTTTCTTCTTGTCGTTATGAATTGGCTCGATTATGCCTTTTTGGAGTTGATCCTTTATGACTGCATCGTATTCTGCAAGGAGTTCTGGTTTTTTCCCTGAGTTGGCGTAGAGATCCTTGTAGTCGTTTAATCGCCATGGATTTATTAGTCCTTCTTCCCAAGGCAAATGGACATAGTAGCCGTCTGCACGTTTTTCGATGGTTTCTTTGAATCGTTTAGCAACTTCTTCATCCGTGAGTTGCCTCGGTTTTTTCCGGGCCTGTATATTCGTTAACTCCTGATGAGTCGAATCCCCAGTATTCATCTTATCTTTTCAACTCGTGCTCTATGTTTTCGGGTTGAATGGTGTGCGTTGACGTTGGCTCGTATTGTCGTCCCGATATCATGTACCCGAACTTGGTTGATATCAGATATAGTCCCGAGGGTAGCATTTCATTTTGCTGTTCCATAACGTCCCAGAGATAGTCACAACCTAGGAGGATCTGCGGAGAGTGCGGTTTTTCATCCAATTTGCTTGAAAGTTGTATGCGTTTCCGGTTTATCACGTGGAGATCCTCCTTCGTCAGGCTAGCTTTCTTAGCGTGGGCTGTTAATACGGGACTGTCATATAGATGGAAGGTGTGAACCTTCTTATTTTGTCAAGTAGCTTGACTTTGACTACTCCATGCCAATTCTCTGTTACTTCGTCAGATCCGAACATCTTCAATCGGAGTTTCGAGGTTTTGGACAATCGGTAGTTGTAGTTCTTCCACAAGATTTTTGTCGATGAACGATGCTTCCGCTCCCGTATCCAGCAAGATTTTGACTTCCTTTGAGCCATTTTTGCCCAGAATAGTCGTGGTTCCTGTTAAGAGTAGGACTTCTGCTCTGCTGGCTTCGCCAGTGGCGTTTTTCTCCTTTCTCTCGTTGTTGGAATCCACTTATGTGTCGAGTCTGTCTTGGACGATCGCATTCTGGTTAGTTATTGGGGTGCTTCTTGTCGCTTTCTTCGACGGCGCACGCCTAGTGTTTCGAGCTGGTTCCCGTGTTTGTTGTTGAAGCACGGGCTGGGTGAAGTTCGCTGCATTTAGACGGTTTCCTTGAGGATTTTGTCTTTGTTGCTGGCTACTGAGAGCCATACAGAGCGAGATGTGATGCAATTTGCCACATTTTTGACATGGAGGGCTCAGGCATACATTTGCTGTGTGGTACGGCTTGCCACAATTGAGGCAAAGCTTGTTCTTTATCAGAAAGAGGAGTCTCTCTGATTCCTTGACTGTACGGCATTCCGTAGATTGATGGCCAAACCGCTTGCAATAGATACAAGTGGGTTTGTAGCCCCGGATTGGTTGGATGGGCTTTTTAGTTGAGCTTTCCTGTATCGCGTTAATCTTGTTTCGCGTTTGTTCGACATATTCTCTTCTTTGGAGTATGCCGCTCTTTCTGCATTTTTGCCCATGTCCAATCCTTTGGATTTTCCAGATCGGCTCGTTTTTCGAGTGTCCGCGTCTGGATATCCTCATCGAATTTGCTGAAGATGATATTCAACAGCAGACGTTGGTCAACTTCTTGACCATTTATTGCCAATTGGCTCATCATGGCTGTTATCTTGTCCAGCAATTGGATCTGCGACTTGGTATCTCTTCTCTCCGCTTTGCATCGTTGCAGATCTGTCAGAATGTCTTCCACTCTCGAATCGCTGTCACCGTATTTTTTCTTAAGGCAGGCGATTGCTTCTGGGTAGTTTTCTGCGGAGACCTGGTACCTCGAGATGAGTTCCCGAGCGTCTCCTTCCAAATACTGCCACAAGTAGTTGAATTTCAGCATGGGGCTGATTTCTTGCTCGTGGATATTTGCCGAAAAAATCGTCCAGAAGTTCTCCCAATCTGCCTTCTTTCCCGCGAATTTCGGTATCTCCAATCGTGGTAGATACGGTGGCATTACTGGGGCGATTGCTGGGGTGGTTGGTGTAGAGTGGTAAGACTGTTCCAGCACACTGCTTCTCACTTCATTTCTCATTGATTGAGACACGGATGATCGGAGGTCTTTTATGAGTTGTTCAACTCCTGCTCTTTTCCCGATCAGACTTGCGCAGAATTGGTCCGCTATGTTTGTGTTCTCCACTGCCACTTGGAGGTATTGGTCGAAAGACTCCAATTCTGCTTCTTGTTTTGTATCCTCCAGCATTTCGAATGCGACATGCAGCTTCTCCATTGATTCGTTGACGCAATCCTTCAGTGATTGAATCTTCGCTCTTGTCGCTTCGATTTCGGTCCGCTACTTCTTCAGATATTCCATGTTTTCGTTTCCGTCGGTCGTTGGCATCACGATTGGTGCAAGCACTGTTTGAGCTCCGGTGACGCCATCTCTCAGAGCAGTGCAAGAGTTTGTGAGACGGGACTTCGATGATTTTAACATGGCGTATTTTTGGTTAGGGAGATTACTGTACTGAGGGGTACGATGTGGAGGGTTGCGAAATCGCGGTGAGGATCAAGTCTGTTATTGATTTTACTGGCCCCGAATTCTTATAAGCCGATGCACCATAAGTTAAAAGTGTATAAAGTATAAAGAAATGAGACGGCGAGATCCCAACCTGTGCTGATCCGGTGGTTCAGGAGGCGTCTTCTATCCTTTTTGATTACCCGCTTGTGGGCTAACTGCCGGAGTCTTCTGTTTGGCTTTAGGCCACTCCGAATATAGATCGATTGACTTTGAATAATCTTCTTCCACCCAGACCGAAGGGGGGGGGGAACGGAGTCGTTGCAGGTTCGGTTGTCGGTACCACAACTGCAAGTAAATTTTAAAGCTGAAAAGGCAAGGTAAGATTAGACGAATCAATGAGCACAGGTAATATAGGACTTGACCGTCCACTAGATACACTTGATAACCTTGGTAACTGAATCGTTTATTCAGAACATAGGTGAATCGACATGAGGGTGTGGGTTATTTGATGAATCGTAAAAACAATGAGTCTACCATAATTGGTATCTAAGTGAGAGATCTAGACAAGGAGATTTGGTAGAGGATATTCAATAACAATTATGACGAAATAGTGGGATGACTCCCAAAAGGGCATATGGGCACATGGCCAAAAATAAGAAGGCACTGGATAACATGTAGGATTATGTTGAGCATAAGCATTTCTACAAGAATTTACAGCTGATCGGGCCTACTGGTGGCCTATTAGTGCGGACCCTTTTCCGCACATAAGGAGTCGATAAAGGCACACAGCATTAGATACGTATCGATTGTTTGATCCGATCAGATATGTTGAACGATTGGCAATCAAATACATATGCTAATGCTGTGCAATCCCAGCGCTCCATTAGATGCATATATATATATATGCACCATAACTCTAGCATACCTTCGCAAGATCATAGAAGAAAAGATCTGAAGAAAGAAAAGCATCAGATATATGGAACGAAGCAAAAAAAGGAGATGGATGACCCCTGGGACAATGTCAGCCACCGGTGGCTGACATTGCGCAATCGCCTCTGCCGGCGCTGGTCCGAACGGGCAGTCTTTGAAAATCCCGCCCGGTCGCGAGTGGGTTAAAGCGTGCGATTTCGGGGAGTAGAGACAAATCGATCGATAGAATAGGATGCAGTAGAAGTGTGAGATGTGAATGCAATAAGTCAAAGGCCAGAAAGAGTTTCTAGTGACGGCACTCCAAGAACCAAGTGGAAGCATTCCCGTCGCCAGCATTTGTGACAGATGTCCGGCGGTACTTTGAACGCGTAGCAGCCCTTTCGGTTTTTCAATTTTTTTTACCAAAACAAATGCAATTTGTTCTTTCGTTCTATCGTGAACGATGGGTCCCAAGCCAGTGAAATATCGGTGCAGTAGAATCAGGACTTTCTCGAGAATCCTTCATTTCATTGGTCATTAGAAATCCTTTGTTTTTTACTGCTCATTGAGATCCTTGTTCTAGCTCCGAGGTCGTGACACTACAAGCCGACTGCAGGTCATTCATTCGAGGTGAGAGTGTATACTATAAGGAGTACGCAAATATTAGAAATAGAGAAACGACAAGAGGGCACGATGAAAACAGTTTATAGCATGTCGCATTGCGCGCCCGGGGGCAATGTGGGATTTGGTGGAACCGGTCTACTTCGTTGAAGAATCGTTTACTTACATTGAAAAGCAAAAACAATAGCCCGGAACCGCAGCGACCAATCGACGGCTCTCGAAATACGCATGTAAATACCTACTGATCGAGTAGGCCTTGGCCTCGCGATCACAATTTTCGCATCTAGGCCACGTCTTTCTTTGAAATTAGGTTGAAAGCAGAGTCAACTGTATGTAATGTCAAATCAACAGGAGATTTGCAACTACGGATCTGGCCAAGGAGTTTCTTGGCTGTTTAGTGATTCCTACTGATTGCGAACAAGGGGTTTGGTGCGTGGACTGAATCGGTCACAGAATCGGTTGAGTGTAGTGTAGCGCTCGAAGAGTGTTAAGCATCAATGGGACCTGGTTGGAGGTTCCAACTTGGAACCATGCCGGTCTTCACGGCTGCGCGCAGTATCAGGGTGTGTGCGAATTTTGACAGCTTCTCGATTTCTTGCACAGTGGTGACCCCAGCTTGACTCTAATGTTTTGTGATTGACTATTCGGTTGATAGTTAGAGCTTTCCTCAATTGCACTTCGCGTGTCATTTTACGTCAGGCAGAAGTTTACCACACACTCTAATATTTTATTTAGATAAGTGTCATGGCTCGTTTCTAAATCCAGGGTTCACGCTCCGAAACCGGGATGGAATAGTCATCCTTTGGTTCTTCTTCTGAACATAGATTACATGTTGTACCACACATCGCCTTGAGCTCTTTTTTGGGTATGAAAGCTGACTGGCAGAAATACTCGATCTTCTCCTTCTTCTGCTTGCACCTGAAAAGTAGCTCAGGGTATATCGTTGAACACATACGAGAATTTCAACTTACTCTTCGGGGTTCCTGTCACCGCAGCACATCTCGCATGACTTCATGCATTTTTCTTTGATTTGTTCTTTGGTGTGAAACTGCGACTTGCAAAATCCTTTAGGGACTTTCTGCGCACAGCTATAAGAAGAAACTAGTGGTTTCTCCCTCTCTGTAAACCACTTGGAGTAATTACACGTACTACTTTGGATCGCTGTCTTTGCAGTAATCCTCCTTTTCTTTCTTGAACAGGTTGAAAGCATGAACAGTCACCAGAATACCAACGACGAGTAGCAATGTCTTCATGTTGTGCTGGAAACATATTAAGGTTAACTTTGAAGTCTTGAAGGCCATGAAAATAAATGTTCACAGGTTGTACTGCTACGGCCAATGCTAACAGTTTGAAGTCAGAAGGGTACATGCTCTATGTCACTGTGGCAACTCTTTTATGCAACAACGCTTGAAATTTTGAACAGCTGCCCCATGATGTAATTTGCTCTCCGAACGCATCGCCCCTTACTTGAATAATGTCCCGAATTAGGCAAGAAGTATAATCGATGATGCTGAGTTGTCTCTGTAGAAATAGGATGTGAATACAGATGTTGTCAAACTATGTGCCTTTTTAGGAAATTAGTGATGAAGACTCATTCAAATTCCTTTATTGATGAGCTTCTGCTGTACTTACAGCTTCTTCAGGCCCAAGTACACAAGCAATCACAACAAATGTACTATAATTCTTGATGCTGACTATGCTGACCTACACGAAAGAACTAACCAGGTTATCAAAAGCAATCCGTTAATCTGCAGTACAATACATAAAGAAACGAAAACTGTTAATTATACAAACACAATTACGATTCTATCATATTATGTTCTTACTGATGTTTTGAATAACTTCCAATCAGGCCAACGACATGGAGTTTCTCCTGTAGGATCCCTGGTTTATTCATGCAGGAATTGATAAAAAGCTATTTCCATATTTTACTAAGAAAGGTCTAATTCCATATTGAACAGGATTCTGGTCGTCGTGTTCCACTAGAACCATGGAGTGAAATGGTCTGCCAAGTAACTGCCACGTTTCGGCTTCTCAATGAACCTCGGCATCAAAGATATAATAGTTTAACGATTTCTTTCAAACTGCTCACGAGGTTGTTATCAAAACCTTTATTGGCGGCTAACGTTTCGGCGATGTCGCCTTCTTCGGAGCCTAAAGGGTAGAACTCAATTTGTGAATACACGGTCAAACGTCTCACTTACCTATACCGGGCTTCGACGTAAACTGAACCGCCACACAACCCCACAAGGAATGATGTTCCATTCCTTTATCAGACCTCTGATCTTTTCAGAAAAAGTATCGCATTTAGAGTCTAGGATGGAATGCTAGTCTCACATACGGTGCTAGCTCCCGTGTTATTGACAAGCATTCGTCCCTTCGATTCATTTGTGGATTCTCGATGTGAATCCAAAGCGCTTCCAAAGTTTTCCGCGCGAACGTTTGTGTTTCGTGCGCCACTATCATTACAGTTATCCCAAAATCGTCTCCGTTATGGTTTCGAGCCCTGTGACATCCCAGTACGGTAGATACACGTGACTTTGCCTTCCCATCTAGATGCTCTTTGATCCGCACATAAAGTGGTCTTGCCGTTTCACCTATGTACTCATCTCCACATGTTTGACAGGAGATTTTGTAGACCACCCCCGCGATTGCACAGTCTCCCTCTCTGCCGGTAGGACAAATTACGCAATTCGGGATCATACATCCGCGATCGTAAACACGATTTCGAACTCAACACGGTCTGCCAAGTATTGAGAGTTCCAAAAATGGGATGGGTTTTACTCTGCAAAGTGACCCTTCAGTTGATTTGAAAGCTATTCCGAGCAGGTTCTCCAAAATGCTTGCTAGGTCAGATACTTTCCTTAGCTGTCATATTGCGTTCGTGAGTTCCATCGTCCGATAACGCCCACAACAATGGAGACCCGCGGATTTCGATAAAAACAGCCATCAGATATTGATTTCAATTAATGGGCAGGATAATTACAAATATGCATTTGCAGGCGAGAGCTGGCACAATTTAGAAGATACTCTATGAATAGGTGATCCATTTGAGTGATGTAGTCAGCGAGTACAGCGTCGAAGATTGAGTTCTTGAAATCGTTCTGAATCGTATCCCTCCGGGATGAAACCTAGGTTACCTGATTCAGATGTAACCAGAGGATGAGCGAGATGTAATGATTCTGCAAGTAAGCTTTCATGCTCGAATTAGGTTGTAGCAAGTAGTGTCGTTTTTATTTTTT